AAAATGTAGTTATAATTTTAATTTCCAATTTTTCCCTTGCAAAATATCAGAATCTGATTCACTTTTTATTAAAATAAAGAATTAGTATGTATTGTGTAATTTGGTGAAATTTTTTGACTTTTTGTAATTAACGCCATATTTGTAATTATATATTTTAAAATAATGAAAATATGGATGTACGTCTGTCACAAGAAAATGACATTTGTTTATTTCCTTTTCTAACCAGGTACAAAGAAATTACCAAACTCTGTTATAAAGCATACTAGATATACCAAGTGTATACAGCAAATTGGAAGCCTACCATTAATTACACTAATTAGCAAAACCATGTGACAGACGTACATTTTTTGTACGTCCGTCACTTTGTGTAAAATGTGTTATAACCTATGAAATATGGTGAAAATATGAAAACTGTCAAGTGTCTTGTGTCTGAAGTTACAGTAGGCTACATGTTGAGCACAAAACATATGGAATAACATGGACAATTCTGGGTATGAGCCCCATACTTGAGTTTCTGGTCGAGATCAATTTAGGCTTACTATAATTTTCCTCCCTGAAGCACTTTTTGTCTTATTGTTATCAAATAGTGTGGAATATGCACATATTTCAGTACCATGGGCTTACATTACAAACAAAAAACAATTTTGAACTAAAATTTTATGCAAGTATCCAATAAAAACCAGGCAGGCAGTACACAGATTACAGAATAATGTTATCATCTTGACAAAAACGGCTACTCTATCTACTTCATAATAACAATGTCATGTAATTACAATTACAGCTAACATGGTTATATTATTTTTTTATATTCAAAATTACAGGATATTATTATAAATGTAAGATAAGACACCTTATTTAGCATGAGTGACCATACAGTCTAGTTGATTAACTACAATTACTATGATTGTTCTTGTATTACAAAAATGTATAGTTCTATACATTACAGGTGTTTATAATAATCTCTAATTCCAGAACCTTTAAAATCTAAACTTACCCATTGCAGGATTCTTTATACAATGAAGAAGTTGACACCAAAAGTTAGAACTTGACTTAATAGATCGAGTACAGTACAGTATGTAGTCTTTCACTAGTTTATCTGTTTGCATTAATTAATAATAACAAAGTACATTTTGGGAACCAAATAATAATTTTTCCTGGTTACTAATTTAGATCCAACTCCTTCATAATCTGTTTAAATGAATGTTCTGAACAAATTGACACCACAATTAACTGGCTACCCCCAGTGGTTACGGAGATAAGAAAACCTGTGAATATGACCCGGAGATGTGTCAAATGTCAGAAATGGCATGTCCTGTCATTTTTTAACAAAATATTCTATTATAGCAAATAGAAATATAAATGTTTTGAACAACTTGGCACCAAACTTAGCTCTCTACCACATGTGGTTGCGAAGATATAAGGGTCCTATTACTATGACTTTTGACCCTGACCTTTGACATTTTGCCACATTTTAAAAACGTGTTACCAAGCCAAAATGAATCTAGGGCCACCCTGAACCAATTTATGAAGTCAATATTCTCTTTACCTCAAATGCATACAAAACATGGTCTGGCTACTAGGGTAATGAGGTTAACTGAGGATTATTGTATTTGACACAAAATAACCTAAATTATTTGATTCATTGTAATTTACACTTATTATTAAAAAAAAGTTTAAAATCCAGTATATTTTTGTACTTTTATATCATATAAGCATACCAGTATAATAATTAATCAATAAAATAATTTAGATTGTAGATATTTTTGTATTTTTAGATGTGTAAGTCCGTCACAATTCAGACAAGTACGTCCGCCACGATAAAATTGTACGTCCGTCACAGTAATTTTATGG